TTTTCATTTGCTAATAAAATACATGAACTATTTTGGTTTCCCGTTTAATACATGAACTAGTTTTTGTTATCTATTAAATACATGAACTTTTGAAATTCGTAGGATTTACGCATCACTTTAGGCGTTAACTATGTTTAACGGAAATTGACGACGGCGTTAGTGTTCAATTAAGTATGTGGTAAATTGTAAAAGGAAAATTCCTTAAAAATACACGAACTAATTTTTATTTGCTAATAAAACACACGAACTATTTTGGCTCACCGTTTACAACACAAACTAATTTTTGTTTCTCAATAAATACACAAACTTTTGAAATTTGCAGATTTCACACATCGATTTAGACGACATCAACTATGTTTAAGAGAATTTAGACTATGTCAACTATTTTTGACAGAAGTGAAGAGAGTGTTAGTGTTTATTTACAACATGAAAGAAAAATTCCTTAAAATCGATCCTGATAGATTATATTGTTAGCTTTTTTCTCCATTACGATTCCATAGTTTAAATTAACCTTGATTGACAAATGAAGAATAAGAATCGTAAACACATAACACCAAACTAATTCTAAAATCTGAAACTCTTTAAAGTTATCTAATTTTCTTTGCTACTTTTTCGCGACATGTAAACTGACTTCAATTCGAAGCAATATAAAAGGAAATCAAAGTGAGAAGAAGAAAAATAACATAGTTTGGAGAATAAGAGATGTTGGAACATATTAGGGTTCTAAATTTGAATTGAATCTAACTTGAATTATGTCTCAATCGATCTACGAGTTTTTATATTAGGGTGAGCGAGATTTTCACAATTTAACCACACGTTTAATTGAAACTAACGGGTTAACAATAGATAACGGTGGTAAAATCATTGTGTAAAATCAGAAATGTTAAAATTTTGTGTATTTAATTAGAAAATTTCCCTTATTGAATATCGAATATGGATTATTGTCTATACAGTCTGCACTTTAACAAATGTTTTGAAATTCAATTTATGATATGGTTATAGATTTTTCTTAGTTCAATACCATTAGATTTATAACATACTAGGTGAAAATAGTACTCAAACGATAGTGAATTAATGAAATTAGGACAAAGAGTGAATACATGTTGTTTGCTGTTTACATTTGTATAAAAGTTTCATCTCTTTTTGTTCCTAAAACACTGACACATTTATCAAGACATGATCTAATTTGTCTCGCTAAACAAAGTATTTTAATTTCTAAATTAAAATTCAATCAAAAATGTATATCCAATTAAACATGCAATTTATTTTACATGTTAAAAAACTATTAAAAATATTTTTTTAAATACTAAAACATATCTTAATATTACTAGTAGATTTGTAGCTTTTATTAACTAGAATAAAAATGTCAAATCTAATAAGTTGAAAGAAAATGTTAATTTCACATAAATAATTACTTTACATTTTGTATAAATAAGTAATTTTAAGAAAATAAATAGAGAGAATGAAAATATAAATATACTAAAATATATATTTAAGATGAAAAATTGTTATCCAATATATGTACTGAATCTTAATTGAATACATTTAAAGATATTTTATTTTACTTGTTATAATTAATTTAAAATTAAAATTGATAATAAATATAAGAAATAATTTTATGAGAATTTTATATTGCATAATAAAAACTTTAAAATTTTAATCAGAAGATCAAAAATATTTTTAAGGAAAATTATAATTTATAAAAATTAAGACATAATTTCAAATTAGTGCAACAAAAAAATCCAAAAATTTAATTTGAATGCAAATATAAATATAAATACAGTAAAATGCAAAATAACATAAAACAGTAGTAAAATTATAACTATCTTCTTACTAAACAAAACAAATCTTTATACACTTTATAGTTAACACCCTCATAATTCTTCTCAAGATAATGAAGTCTTCTATGAGAAAATTTCTTGAGAAGTCTACTCATGTATTTATTCTTAAAACTAATTTAAAAATTTTTGAAAAAATATTTTAGTGATAAATAAATTTAAGTCATGTAAATATAAACAATACTAAATCCTGTAAATTTAATAAAATTGAATTGCTTTTCATATAGATTAGTGAATATTGATTGAAAGTTATGATTGTTTCTTGTTTAGAGTCGGGTAAGATATGTTAAAGTAGTATTGGTATTTTTAGGGTTAGATTTCAGAATCTTAAAAATATTTTCTAGAAATTAAAATTTAAATATAGAAGTGTTTAGTTTTGTATATATAACATTTCATAAGTTAATTTTATGTTTAGTGAAGCGTTTATTTTATCTCTTTAAATAATTTGATTTTATGGATTAGGAATACAAGACTTCCTAAAATATTTTCCAAAAAGTGATGCACTAAACTTCCTTCAAACTATTATGGAAAGTAGAATAAATTTAGAGTTAGGAGACTTCTTCAGAAGCCTGCTAAATTGTAATACACTAGCAGACTTCACAAAATTTTATATATCGGATTTCTTAACATAATTGAAAATGTTCTTTCCATATAAAAGTGAAATTATTCATTCTCTCTCGTTTTATCAAATGGCTGCAACCAAAATACAATCTTTATTTTTCATTGTTTATCTCCTCTAAAAATTTAAGGTAGAGATCTTTCAAATTTTTGATATATTTTTGTTTTGTTTTGTGTGTGTGTTAAGCTAAATAAAAAAATTAAAATTCATTATGAACACATATGTGTTTGTTAGTATTTTAGTGTAAATGTTATAGTTTCAAACCAAAAACGTATTTTTTTTTGGTTTTTATGCTTTAGATTCAAATAAAAATATATATTAAATTCAGTGTAATTATTTTTTATTTAAGTTGCAAAGTTCTAATTTTTGAAGTTTTTTTTTCTATTTTGAAAAAAAATTTAAACCTTTTAATATATTTATTTTTAGATCTGAAACTATATATCAGATTTGATTAATAGACCTCTCAAACATACTTCTCGAGTTGGTTTCACCAAATAAGTCTTTTAGATTAATATTAAGTGATAAATTTAATGAAATTTTATTTTCCCGCTTAAGGTTAAGAGACTTCTCTAACAGTCTGCTAAGCTAAAATTCACTAGGGAACTTCTCAAGAAGTCGTCTATAGGAAATGCTCTTGAATATTTTGGAGTATGGTGTTACTACTCATGTTTTACTTTCATCTATTGTATATACAGCGACAAAGCAGGTATAGATAGAGACTTATTTTGATAATCTAATATCCTAAACACTATATACACTTTGTCTAGTATATTTGTAAAACTCTTTTTGTCTAAAGCTCTGTTCATTATTTTAAGTCCTTGTAACCATAAACTTTATTTTTACTGTAAATCATTTATTAAGATTATGGTTGTGCAACTTTAAGAAGTTGTGTAGTTCTCTAGGTTGCACGGAAGCTTCATAGGATGTACGCTTTCTGCTTCGGAACTGGAATCAGAATCAGAATCTTGTTGAAAGCGTACATAATCTCGCTTCCAAAATGCTTCTAAAATATTTTTTTTAAAAACATGTTGGAAGTTTACGATTTCTTTTTGGAATCACACTTCTATTTTTTTTCTTTAAACACAATGTCATAATTAGTAATATATACAGATATATGCTTCTAACACGTATCCACTTCCTAATTTTTCTAAAAGAAATCTCGCTTCTGCGTTTCCATACGCTTCCACTTCTATATAGAATTGTCCTGTAATTAATTTTGTGTGATATGAATGATAATGATGATACCAAGTTTTAGTTATTACACACACATTTATAATAAGCAACATTTGACACAAGTTCAACATAACAAAGTTCAAACATATCACAATTTCAATATCACATAAGGTCAAACACAAATAACATAATTTTAAACATATGAAAACACAAGTTTTAACAAGATATTTCTACATGAGACTTATTTAATAAATTTTTGTAATTGAACCAGTTGAAAAAAACTAACATTAAAATACATTAGCAAACATAAAATATCATCTTCAAAAAAATCACAGAGCAGATGTCTTGAAAAGTCTGCCATCACTGCTCTCGTTAGCTAGTCAAAAAAATAAACAAAATATTGCTAACCTTATCATTATATCTAATAAAGTTATAAAGTTCATTTAAGATGTCTAAACTGATAAATACACATAAATGAACAAAAAAATCTTCAAAATTCATTTCAAATTTGGAGAAAGCGTAAGTTTATCAAAATTAGTGGAGAAAACTTTTTGAAAAGTTTTTTTTTCACAACATACTTCTTCAGAAGTCTCTTGTTTAGCTGATTTTTTCAATAACAAATTAACGAAAGAATATAAGTCTACTCAATTAGCATATTTTTTTAGAAGTCTTGCTTTGTTAATTATTAGGTTATTTTTTTTTGTCGACTGTGAAGTTAATTTTATATTTGGATAAATTTTTGATTTTATACGAGTAAATTTCTCTAGAAGTTTTTTTGTGAAAATAAGATTAGTTTTGCAATTGACATAAATTTTGCAAAAGTTTAATTTGACTTAAAAGGCATCTAGAAAAATCTGCTATATTAGACTATTCGAGAAGTTTTCTTATTGTCATATGAGATCTTTGAAATGTCTCATTAAAAGTTTGCATAAATTATCTTTTCAGTTGACCATGTTTAACTTTATATAAGAAAATTTTTCTAAAGGTCAAAAGTTTTCTTAAAGAAAGGCTTCCAAAAGAATATGTTTTCGAAATTGAGAATTTGATCAAAATCTTATAATAAGATAGAATAAATTTCTACCGAAGTCTTCTAACTAATTAATTTTAAAACTAAATGAGATTCGTGTTTTTCTCCAAAAGATTTCCCATCAGTTGTTTAGCTATTAGTTGTAGGTTGATATCTCATACGCCGAGCAAGAATAGTTTAATACTTTAGGCATTATTGACGGCCGAAAAAATCAACTCGGGGAAAATGGTAAAGGGTAAAGGTAAAATGAGAAAATAAATCTGACTTAACAAAGGCAGAGAGAAAGGAAAAAAACCTTTTCAACACTGATCAGATCATTTCCTTCCTCTCTCCAAGCGAAACCATGGCGCTACTTCTATGGCAAACTCTAAAAGAAGCGATTCATGCTTACACAGGTCTCTCCCCGGTCGTCTTCTTCACCGCCCTTGCTCTCGCCTTCGCCATTTACCAAGTCGTCTCAGGCTGGTTTGCTTCACCGTTCGATGACGTTCGCCGCCATCAGAGGGCTAGATCGTCGGCTGCAGAGGAAGCGCCACCGGTTCCTCAGCCTGTTCAGGTCGGAGAGATTACAGAGGATGAGCTTAAGCAGTACGATGGCTCCGATCCTCAAAAGCCCCTTCTTATGGCCATCAAACATCAGATCTATGATGTAACACAAAGCAGGTGACTTTCTTTAAATTTGTTCAAAAGGCTATGAGTTTGGTCCTGTAAGAACTTGGACTTTGAAATCGTAAAGTTGTTCACTTTGACAAATAATTGCCCCTAAACAATAGTTACTACCTACGAATTTGATTCAATTTCCTGGGGTAATTGGAGATTTTTCTGGCATAGTGTAAAGGTTTATCCCTTTTGAAGTTCATACAAGAAGGTTTCTTAGTTGTTGTGTTTGCAGAAACTAGAAGTTAATATGTTCTTGTTGTTGATGTCTGCTGGCGTTTTTCTTTTAATAAGAACTCTTTACTCGTGTTCGAGCTTTTAGTTTGATTATTACATAGTTTGTGTTTGTAATGAAATGTTATCCAGTTATCCATTTCTTATTGGTTTGTAGGATGTTCTATGGACCAGGAGGACCGTATGCTCTATTTGCAGGAAAAGACGCAAGCCGAGCGCTTGCAAAGATGTCATTTGAGGAGAAAGATTTGACTTGGGATATCTCTGGTCTTGGTCCCTTTGAGCTTGAAGCTCTTCAGGACTGGGAGTACAAGTTCAAGAGCAAGTATGCCACCGTTGGCACCGTCAAAGTGACCAGTTCAGAAGCTGCATCTGTGTCTGAACCCGCAGGGACTGATGACAGAGACGCTCATGTAACTGAGCAAGAGCCGACAGTTGTGGATACGAATCATGAGACTCCTGCTGAGAGTGATGTGAAGAACGAGTAGATTCTGTTTCAGTGATTTAATCTGGTTTGTCATAGAGACCCGATCGAGTGTCAAATGTCAATGTAGAATCTCTAATGTTGTTCAAGTTTCAATGATATAATCTTTGTTTCATTTCCTAAAAAACAAAGTCTGCTGGTTGATAAAGTCCCCTATACATATATTAATTGAGAATCATTTAAAAAGTTGTAATCTTAATTTTGTAATAATTAAAAATAACTCCAATCTTATGTGGCATAGTTTTTTGGCATGTGATATAATGTATAGTCTAAAAATTATACTTTCTAACAATATACTATTTCGTAAGCTATAGTTGGTCGCATATATCAAATATTTATTGTTTCGCGTGCTTTTCTTAAATAAAACCTACGAAATTACCTAATGTGATTAAAAATATATATGACAATTAGTGATTTTAAACAATAAAGATTTGATAACAATCTGTATACTTTTCTCATTTTTATTTCTTTATTATTAAAATAAATAACACAATTACATTAATCATATAATAAAAATCTACATTTTTTGTGTGTATATTGTAATTCGAATTTTTCAAAATGAGTAAAAATTACTAAAATTGTTAAAAGTCCTACATAAACTTTTAGGATCAAGGTTTTATTTTTTCTATATTAAATATAATGATTATAAGACCATATGAAGAAATAATTTTAGTTTATATATATTTCATATCGTTTTAATTAAACTATACATCGTATGAAAATACATACTTATATTTTAATATTTGCTTTGTACATATATTGAAAATTTAATATTTTAATTTTAAAATATGTCATTGTTTTTTTAAAATGATTATAAATTATTGAAACTACTAAACATCTCACATTAAAAAAAAATCGTTGGTGTAAAGTTTTGTTACAAAATTATGCAAATAATCATAAAATCATATGAGTAGAAACCTCATTTAATAAATATCCATATTAAAAGTGTACTATATTACTATGTATATATAATTTAAATTTAATTATATATCATATACAATATATAAGATTGATTATTTTGATTTATTTAGGGAAATTGCCAGAAATAATACTTTCAAGATACCACTTTTCAACTTTACACTAACCAACTTTACCATTAAAATTTTAATAGTCAAAATACTATTAGAATATAGGGTTTTGGGTTAGTTTAGGGTTTAGTGTTGATTTTTTAGGGTTTAAGGTTTACTTTTTAGGGTTTAGAGTTTAGGGTTTAAGGTTTAGAATTGATATTTTAGTGTTTAGGGTTGATTTTAGGGTTTAGGATTTACTTTTTAGAGTCTAGAGTTTAGAATTGATGTTTTAGGGTTTATGGTTAATTTTTTATTTAATATTTATTTTATATATATATATAAAGAACAAACATATAAGAGTCTTTTATCCTTTAATAAAATGTGTATTTTTAAACATGTTCCTTTGTTGATGGTAAATATGAAAAGTGGTAGCACTAAAGTGGTATAATTGGAATTCTCCCATTTATTTACCCTAATTGCGAATAAACATGAGTGATAGTTAAATTTATATGCATACGCCAATTTATTACATAACAGTAACTGATATCTTAGTTATTTAATATATATATTTATTATTTTATTATTTTATAATATGCTGAAAATAGAAAATAAATAATAAATATAAAATATTTATTGTGCATAAAGTGTAGATCTTAACCTAAGTATGTAACTCTTTAATTATTCTAAATCTTAAGTTTTTTCTAAATTCCAGGTAAAAAAAAAACAAACGAAATGCGAATAAACTTCAAAATAAATATTTATATCGAGTAATAACCAAAATATAAAAAACACAACAAGAGAAAAATTGAAGATAAATAGGATTGACACGTGAACGTAAACTTCTCATAACCATAATTAATATTTAAATTATTAAATCATGATATAAAACTGAGTTAATTTTTAATTTGTTAACTTTTTTTTTAATTTTTAAAAAATTAAAGTTTCTAATATTATTAGACAAATAAATAAATTATATTAAATTAGTTTTGAAACTTTAAATATTTTAAATGCAAATATTTTACAAACTGCTTCTTAAAAAAATATTAGGGAATTTGGTGATACTCTACCAATCAAGCCGAGTGACAATCCATTTATTTTCCATCACTCGAACAGTGAAAGTTGAAAAGATATATGATTTTGGGTCCATTAAATTCTAAGATTTGATCTATAGTTCTAATTACAATTTTTTCTGATCCTACGTATAGATAATTATATAAAAATTCCAAAATTATAAAATTTCAAATACATATAAAAACAACCATATTTAAATTTTAAATTTGATAATACTAAAATTTTATATTTAAATTACATATATTCACCCTGCGCAAGGCGCAAGTCTTATCCTAGTATTTATTAAAAACTTACTCTTGAGTTTATTTCCTAGGTGCACCTAGAGGGTTCACTAACTAATAATATTAGGTTATTTCATATTTGATATTTTATAAAAGAAGGAAACAATATGTCAATTTATATTATGTTTTTGAAATAATAAAAGATTAAGTAATTATCTATGCTTTGCGTGAAATGTGATTATTAGTGTCTTTAGTTTTTTTTTTTTTTTTTTTTTTTATCATCAAAAAAAATACAGACTCATATTGACTCTGCAAACCATCCTGGTGGCTCCGTATCCATGTGAACAACGAAAGACGATTGTCTTCTGGCATTGCGTGCTAGACTGTCCGCCTGTAGATTCAGTGTTCTTGAAACATAGATAATTTCCGAGCTGTGGAAATGTCCTTTAAGCATCTTGATATCCTCCAAATAACTTGCAAAAGCTGGCAATTCTTCTGGTTCCGACACCATCTTCACCAACTGAGAACAATCTGTTGCAAAGGTAACCTGATATTGACGCAAATTCCTCATACTCTCCATTGCCCAAATAAGCGCCTCGACTTCCGAATGAAGAGGTGAAAGACTAGCTCGGACATTTCTTGCTCCCATAAGCCCCTCAAAGCCTTCTAGTGTACTATACCAACCATGTCCGTCAAAATTATCCTTGTCTTTCCAAGATCCATCTATAAAACACCAACGTTCAGTTCTGACCGGTATGGTCGCAGTAGGAGCTGATTGTGGCTCGCTTTGAGATACTCCAAGCTGAGCCTCCGCCCAAAGAAATGATTCTGTCTCCGCCAATTGAAGTGTGTCCTTCGGATCAATGTCTAAATTACTTGAAACTTTACTATTTCGACCTTTCCATATGTACCATAATATCCATGCGAATTGATGATCTTCCATCTTCGGAGTTACTCTCCAGAATAAATGATCCATATTGGTAAACAGAGACATTGTAGGAAAAGTTACCGGGTTTAAAGGGATCTTTGACAGAGCCCAGACTTGACGTGCTGGAGGGCACTCAAAGAAAACGTGGTTAATCGATTCTTCCGGGGCTCCGCATCTGTCACAGTAAATATCACCATTTATCCCCCTGGCCTGCAAATTTTTCCTTACAGCAATGCATCCCGATAGTAATTGCCATAAGAAATGTTTGATCTTAGGGGGGCACCTTATCTTCCAGCAAAAAGCTTTTAAAACATCCACTGTGGGACCCTGAAAACCAGTTGGCCTTTCTTTGGTGGGATACACCCTTTCCACATGATATCCTGACTTTACAGTATATTTTCCGGTTTTGGTGAAATGCCAACCAACTCGATCCTCCCTATGATATCTGCCAAGTGGTATACTTTCTATTATTTTTGCATCCTGAGGATCGATTAAAGTCCTGATCACCTGTGCATTCCAGGTCCTTGTATCTGGATTGATGAGAGCGTCCATTGTAAGTTCCTGTGGAAAATGTTGTTGGTTTGTTTGTGCTGGTCTCGGGCGAGTGGTTGGGAGCCAGGGATCATTCCATACTGATATAGAAGATCCTGATCCCACCCGTTTAATAAGTCCTTTGCTAACCAGAGATCTAGCTGAGATTATACTTCTCCAGCCATATGACGGGGAGTATGACCGAATTGGGTCAAGAGGCGACCCATTCCTATAGTATCGACCTTTAAACACACGAGAGAACAAAGTGTTTGGTTTCTCAATAAGACGCCATAATTGTTTTCCCAGCATAGCCGTGTTAAAATCCTCAAGGTCTTTAAAACCTAAACCTCCATCCTCCTTGCTTAGACATAATTTATCCTAAGACTTCCAATGCATACCCTTTGTACTCCCTCCCGGGCTCCACCAGAATCGTGCTACAGCAGCAGTTAATTTCTTTGTAGTTGCCTTAGGTAACCTATAGCAGGAAATCACATGATTTGGTAAGGCAGTAACCACAGATTTTATAATCACCTCTTTCCCGCCCTTCGTGAAAGACCTGAAAGTCCAACCATTAACCCTTTTATGTAATCTATCCTGAACAAATCCAAAAACCTGTATCTTAGACCCGTTTAAACTCTCTGGCAGACCTAGATAAGATCCCATACCACCTCTACTTTGTATCCCTAGTATATTCCGTAACACCTGTCTGTTTTCCTCCCCGATTTTATGACCAAATTGAATTGAGGATTTCTGGAAATTAATTAGTTGTCCTGAAACAACCTCGTATTCCTTAAGAATTGTAAGGATAGTTTGACACTCCTCTGTCTGTGCCTTACAAAAGAAAAGACTATCATCGGCAAAAAGAAGATGAGATATCGCTGGACATGCTCTAGCGACTTTCATTCCTGTTAACCGACTCTGCCTCTCCGCCTTTTTAATATTGGTAATTAAAGCCTCAGTGCACATAATAAAAAGGTAAGGAGATAAAGGATCCCCTTGTCTGAGGCCCCTCTGCGGTAGAATATAACCTTTAGGTTGACCATTTATCAAAACTCGATATTGAACCGACGAAATACATTCCATCATAAGTTTTGTCCAGTGAGGAGCAAAACCCATCTTGTGCAACAAGGCCTAAATAAAACTCCATTCTACCCTATCATACGCTTTACTCATATCCGTTTTTATCGCCATAAACTTCCCCTGACAGGATTTATTAGCTCTCAAACCATGAAACATTTCCTGAGCAATAAGGATATTATCCGAAATTAGTCTCCCCGGGACAAAAGCAGATTGTGTCTCTGATATTAACCTGGGCAAACATCGTTTTAACCGTTGACATAATACTTTTGAGATAATCTTATAGCCAACATTACACAGACTTATCGGTCTAAGTTCAGTCATCCTTATAGGTCTCTCGGTCTTCGGGATCATACAAATATGAGTGATATTTAAACGAGGATCCAGAATTCCCGAAACCAGAAAATTATTCACCATCTCTACCAAATCATTCTTGACAATGTGCCAAGAGTGCTGAAAAAAAAGTGCTGTCATACCATCAGGTCCAGGTGCCTTCGAGGGATGCATCATAAATAAAGCCTGTCTAACCTCTTCCTCTGTGGCCATCCGTAACAACCTGAAGTTCATTTCTGGTGTGATATTTGAAGGAATTTCATCTAGAAAACTATCAAATTCTGAGGGCGAAGTAGAGGTAAACAACTCCTCAAAGTAACTTACTGCTACTTGTTCCACCCCATGTTCCTCTGTTACCCAGTTTCCAGAATCATCGTGCAACCCCACTATTCTGTTACGCACCCGCCTCTGTTTTGTTAAATCATGATAAAACTGGGTGTTAAGATCCCCCGAAGTGTACCACATAGTACGACTTTTTTGATACCAGTATTCCTCCTCATCCTTATATGCTTCTTGTAATTTCCTAGATACTTCTAAGATATCCTCTTGCGTCCTATCATCATCCATTTGGACTTCTTCTAGCGCTCGTTGGAGATTTTGAATTTTCTCTTTACCGTATGGCGGATTGTTTTTCCGCCATTTCGCGATTTCATGACGACAATTACTAATCTTTGTTACCAGACTGCCGCCTTGTCCCTCCGAGTCTTCTGTCCAGCCAGCGATAATTGATTCCATAAAACCTTCCTTCCCAATCCATCTCTTATCAAACCGAAACTGTCCTCTCCGTTTTTGAATTTTATCTTCCAGGTATGCCACCACTGGACGATGATCCGAACCTACCATCCCCAAGTATTCTGTATAGGAACATGGGAACAAAGTATGCCATTCTTCATTTGCTAGTGCACGATCTAGACGACACCTTATCATTACTGCGCCTGCTCCTTTCCCTCTCCTTCCTTGCCAGGACATCTTATTACCTCGGGCGGGAAATTCCAGTAAACCACTATTTCGAATCATATTATTAAAAGGAACGAAAGAAGCCAAACTTCGTAAAGCACCCCCTTCTTTCTCATGATTTCCAGTAATCTCATTTAAATCTCCGATGAGAAACCAAGGTTCTGATCTAGCTAAACCAAACCGAGTTAACCGTTCCCAGACTTGTTCCCTTAAATCTTGTATCGGGTCGCCATACACAAACGTCATATAAATCTTCCTACCCATCACCTCTGCTTCCACATCAATCATTCGATTACTAGAATATAAAATATTTATTTGATACTCATTATTGTAAAAAAGAACAAGGCCCCCACTCCTGCCTACAGGATCCACCGTGACCAAATTATCATAACCAAAATGTGTTTGAAACCCTTGTACAAACTCAAAGTCTTGTTTGGTTTCTGATAGAAATAAAAAATCCGGTCTATGTTTGTGCCATATTTCCCGCAGATAGCTAATTGTCCATTTACTTCCCATACCTCTACAATTCCAGCTTAAGATCCTCATAAAAACAAACAAACAATGCTCACAAGAGCTTCTAAGATAAGGGTATGATGAAACCCAAATCCCTGCAAAAGTAAGAGTGTTTCCACCATAAAGAATTGTGTGACTAAAACCAAAAAACAAGCCCACCAGAAAGTGATGTTACTGAATAATCTTCTCCTCCCGCACGAACATGAAGTTTTCTCCATATTGGGAACAGTGTTTATAAGACTTCTCTGCCACGTACTCACCATAGCGTTGTGTCGTAAGTGTAAAACCAGAAAGACAAAACACAGTGGTTGGTTTAATGAGACCCACCACATCCCAAACTCAATCTGAAACTCATGTTTCCTAACCTTAGGCCAGAAACGCATCCCATAGTCCAACCTTAACACTCCAACAACTCGTAAAAGCCATAACCACGTCCATCGTGACCAAAATTGTCGAGAGATGAACAAAGCAAAAACACAAGCACACCCAGAACAACCAAAACTATCAATATTATTCCAAGAAACAAACTCGTACCAATGGTACGACCCATCAAAAATGATATGAGAAACATATAAAGAAAACAAAAACGAATACTTGCTGATACAGCTTATTCTCAACATAAATAAATAAAAACATAGGACGAACACAAAACGATTCTTGTATCCTGCTCAATCATTTAATCCTAATCCTTGGAAGTACTTGCCTTAGGGTTTAAGGAACCCTTCTCATTCACCTTCTTGCTGCCATCCTCCTGCTTTGTTGCTGCCTTTGTAGAGGGACGCTTACCGTGAGCAATAATAGCCTGGACCATCCTCATTTTAGTACCACCTGCACCAACTGTTCCAGCTTTGAATGGTTTCTTCTTAAGTCCATGTTTCTTCCCCTCTTCTCCGTCAATCTTGTCTTGCACAAATTCTCCATCTTCCTTCACCTCTGCCGTCGCGTCTACCTTCCCTGACCCAACAGCAACCTCATTTCCAGTATTTTCCACATCATCTTCAGGATCCGTGAGATTTTCAAAACCATCATCTTCATTAGGCGTCTCCTTCTGTTCTGCCTGAGCCTCCATCCCCTCCATTACCATCTCGTCATCTTTTTCCGAGATATACATAGCTTCAAGTACCTCATTTGCCAAATCAAGATTATCATCAGCAGGCAATCGGTCCCCTTTTTCCTCTACTTTTTGCATCTCACTCTCGCTGGAAGCTGGTATGAGGACCTCCTTTTCCGGTAAACGCTCATAGCGTTTGGATATACTTCTTTCACGATACTGAAAATGTGCTCGAGGGCTTTTCTCCCTCTCTCTCCTCACTCCCCTTGTTACAGCAGTAGAGTAGCGGTGTTCATTACCTCCATTTCTCTTTAGGTCCCTGTGGTGAGAATTCGTGTGTCCTGAAACCCTATCTTCCCCACCGTATCTCTCTCTGGTTCTGTTGTCTCTTGCACCTCTCTTCCCTGAAGCCTGCACCCAGTTAACGTCATCCTCATCAAACATTTTCCCTTTCCCCTTTCCTGATATAACCGGGTTAGTGTTTTCTTGTTTCTTATCACCATCAGCACCATTTATGACCACCCCTCTATAACTAGCAAATCGCTCCCCATGTTTCTCATCAGCAGAATATTGATTCTCCATCCTCCTCTCTGCGATCTCTGTGATTAAAGGACACTTATGAATGTCATGGCACAAGCTAGAACAGGACCTGCTGTAACCAAACAATTTCTCATATCTGAGAGAGATTGGTAACACATCTCCCTCATAGTGTTCTCCACCACAAAAATCAACATCCATCTCAAATACCAGATTCTTATACCCATCAACCACCACTTGAATTCTTCCATAATCGATATCCACCTCAAGCACTTTCCCAATAGCATTACCAATATTCTCAAAAGTTTGAGTAGCCCATAATTGCAGCGGAACCCCCAACACCTTGACCCAAAACGTGATCTCATAAGGATAGTTCCGTTCCACCCTCGGCTGCCATCTCACTAAAGAGATCATCCAATAGTCAAAATGGAACGGTTGCATCTTCAGGACTTCATCGATGTCTTCCTCCTTTTCAAAGTCAAATTGGAACCGACCAAGGCCCAAATCTGCTCCCACCACTCTATCCTCCACCTTCCAGATCTTTGGAAGCACCGTGATCAAGAGGTTGACATCTTGCTTGCTCGGATTCATGCACCGGCCAATGAGAGTTCTTGAGTAGCCTTTGATGAGATCGGAATTGTTGAAGTGCGGAACCGAGATCTTGAGTTTTTTGATGATATTTTCCTCATTGGAGTTACTCCCTGAGCTACCCACAAGCTTCGCCTGAGACATTTGAGAAAAAGAGAGGATAATAATATCGTTATCGAGTGATGAGAAAATAATGGGAAAGATGATGTGTAAACGATGAGGAACAAGTCTCAAACACTCCTCCATTTTATACACCTCTCCTTCACAGGAGAAAAAGTAAACCAAATCTCCCATTACTATGTGTATAATCGTGTAATAAAAGCACCGAATACTCCAAGATATCTGTGTGATCCATTGATGCTGTAAAGAAGATTTGTTGGACCAATCGTCTTTCCAAAAGACAAATATGTGCCGTGTATGAGAAAATATTCGCACAATCCGATTTTCCATACTCATCGCTACCCCTAAGACCAACACAGTTAAAATCGTATCACGCATACCTTTGATTTTCCTTAGTCGGAAAAGATCTCCCTTGTGCGCCATTAAAAAACCTCTATCCCCCGAATCCTTCATGGTCTCCACACAGATTGGTATCACCAATCTCCAATCACAAATCCCCTCCCAAATAAATCCATGAGTGAAAAAACATCTAGAATCTGGATCTTCTCCGATTCGTTCGATAGCGGGATCCCCCAGAGATCTTCCATTTGATTCCCATAATCCTTGATATCCCCGAATACCTTCCCTGCAGATCATAGAAAAAACCCTAGATCGTCGCTTTTGTCGCCATCGCCCGTTGACTACTTGATATTGTACCAGTGTCTTTAGTTTTAATACAGAGATCAAATCATTTGGATATCGATTCGGCTTTAGATTTTTTTTGTTTTGTTTTTAATCTCCTAAAATATAAAAATCTTTCTTTTTTTCTTTCTGTCATCAAACAAATAGATCCATTTAGACTCTGCGAACCAAACAGGTAGTTTTGCATCCATGCGAACAACAAAAGACGCTTGTTTCCTGGCACTACATGCTAGACTATCCGCCTGTGAGTTCTGCATTCATGGTACATAAATGATCTCTGAGCTGTGAAAACTATCTTTCAGCGTCTCGATATCCTCCAAATAAGTTGTAAACGCCGGCCATTCTTCTGGGTCCAACACCATCTTCACCAGCTGAGAACAATTCGTTGCAAAAGTGACATGATATTGACGCAAATTCTTCATGCATCTCATTGCCCAAATTGGCGCCTCCACCTCCGAATGTAGGGGTGATAGGCTTGCCCTAACATTTCTTGCTCCCATCAATCTCTGAAAGCCTTCTAGTATGCTTTACCAACCTTTTCCAGAGAACTCTTCCTTAACTTTCCATGAACCATCCATAAAACACAATCGGCCTGGAATGGACGGAATGTCCCTGCCCTGGCTCTGGTGCGGAACTCTCTGTGTTTGTGCCAACTGAGCCTCACTCCATAGAGTTGATTCTGTTTCTGAAAGTTTCAATGTATCTCTTGGATCAATATCTAAATTACTAAACGTTTTGCTATTTCTGGCTTTCCCAAGGTACCATAGTATCCATGCGAAGTGATGATCGTCCATTTTCGGAAGTACCTGCCAAAATAAGTGATCCATATCTGTGAACAGAGAACAGGTAAGAAAAACATCTGGATTTGATGGTATCTTTGATAATGCCCAAACCTAGCGTGCTAGGGGACATTCAAAGAAAACATGATTAATCGACTCCTCCTCTGCTCCAAATCTAACACAACAAATGTCTCCTTTCATTCCTCGTGCTTTTAGGTTTTTCTTCACCGTTGTGCATCCCAATATCAGCTGTCATAAAAAATGCTTTATCTTCGGAGGGCATCGTACCTTCCAACATTGTGCCTTCAATGGGTCGATCGTAGGTCCCAACATTACTGGTGATCTTTCATTATCTGGATAAATACGTTCCACTTGCTAGCCCGACCTAACCGTATATTTCCCGGTATGTGTAAAATGCCATTCATCCCGATCCTCCATTTGAGTCCTACTCAATGGTATGCTCTCTATTATTTTCACATCTTGAGGATCCACCAAGGTCCGAATTGCCTGCGTGTTCCAGCTCTGCGAGGTCGCGTTAATGAACGAATCTACTGTAAGTGCCGGATAAAGGTCATGTTGATTTTTGTTTGCTGGTCTCAGGCGAGTGGTTGGGAGTCAGGGATCTTTCCATATAGAGATGGATGATCCTGATCCTAACCTTTTGATTAGTCATTTGCTAACTAGAGATCTAGCAGAAATCATATGCCTCCAGCCATATGACGGACAATATGATCTTATCGGGTCAAGGGGTGAAGCATTCCTGAAATACCGACCTTTGAAAAGTCGTGAAAACAAAATGTGTGGTTTCTGAATAAGGCGCCACAGTTGTTTGCCAAGCATAGCCGTGTTACAGTCATTTAGGTCCTTAAATCCCAAACCTCCTTAATCCTTATCCAAACATAATTTATCCCATGATTTCTAGTGCATTCCTCTCGTGCTCCCCCTTAGACTCCACCAAAATTGAGCCACTGCCGCCGTTAACATAAAAATCCTTCTAAATCAATATTTATTTTGGTTTGTTCGGGATAAAATATTTGATGTTTTTGGTTCGTCCAGTGATAACCAAAAATTATTATTATCTGTTTGGTTTTCATGTTATATGAATTTTAGATAGTTCTAATGTCAAACCAATAATTTTCTATTATTGATTATAAGCGGATGATAGTTAAAGAAAACGAAAATAAAATTATTAAGACAAATTATTTCACTACAATTAGGTCGATAATGAAAAAAATATTACAAAAAATGTTTCCAAGGAATTAGATACTTTATTTGTGGTGAATATTTAGTTATATAGGTGCTCACATCAATGTGCACATGCGTATGTAAACACTATATAGAGTTAGTTGATAAATGTATAAAGATTTATAAAGATAGTGTTAATTAATATTAAATAGTATTTTGTTCAAAATAACACATGAGAAATAAAATTCTTAAAATAAAATTAACTAAAAGTAAAATAGGCTTAGATATTAGTGAAGTTTTTTATATAAATAAAATTAAACTGTATCCTTAAATAGAGGTGGGCATCAATTGAATATTCAGGCATTTGGAAGTATTCGTGTCGATTCGATCCATAGCTACCTGAATAGTCGGTGTGTCGAATATTCAGAAAATTTTAAAATTTTAATGGATACCCGATTTGATCCGTAAATAAAATAAAATTTATTAAAATAAACTAAAAATATAAAAAGAATACAAAATAATATTTTCTTACAAATAAAAAAATATTTAAAATTTGAAATTCTATTACCTAATATAATAAATTTAATACATAAAAATATTGTAAACTTATATAAACTATATTATATATATAATTCTTTAAATACATGTATATATATGCATATAACAGATCGAATCAGATATTCATTCATAAAAATATTAATATTTGTGTTTTTCTTTGTTGTTTACAGATATTGTGTTTTAGTATTTGATTTGCTTCTAGAGTTAAGTATATCCAGACTTTTCGGTTCGAATCAAAACGGAAACCAATTTGAATAAAACTTTATAAATATTTTGTCTAGCTCTATCCGTAAACAATAAAAAAATATATATAATTTTGCATTTTTATTCGAACTGAAAAATCCGGATAGTGTGATTATTATTATAACCTTAGAGCACTTCCAATGGGGGTTCTTCCCATTGGAGTTCTTAATATATGTGTTATATATATAAGTAATTGTGAGGTCTACAATTTTTGTAGAACCCTATAGGTAAAGATTCTTAAAAGAGGGTTTTAAGAGCATCATTAGTGGGGGTCTCTTGATGAGTCCCTCACCAATAAATAACTAGATAAAAAGGAAAAGTAAGAGAGAGAGAGAATTGACCATCTCTCCGGAAAGAAACTCTTACGGGAATTAAAGAAACCCTTACGAAAATTAAAGAAATTCAAATGACATGTGTCAACTAATGATTGATTTACACTACTTTAAA